TTCCACTGAACGTTACCTAAACCCTCTGTTCCACTGAACGTTACCTAAACCCTCTGTTCCACTGAACGTTACCTAAACCCTCTGTTCCACTGTACGTTACCTAAACCCTCTGTTCCACTGTATGTTTCCTAAACCCTCCGTTCCACTGTATGTTTCCTAAACACTGTTTCACTGAACGTTACGTAAACCCTACATGAACATAATCGCAAGTTCCCACAAATCAATGTATCATTTATTTAATGAAATTCCCCATTCCTTCTATGAAGTTTTTATGCTATCGGAAAACTTGTATGCTTTTTTTTTTTTTGCATAATTAGTAACTATCACGTGACAAGTCTGTATTGCACTTGGAATAAAAAATTAATCAGTATTAAAATATTGTTATTTAGAAGACGCAGATTAACTAATTATATTAGGAATGTTTCTTAATAAAAACTAACCAGGAAAGTATGAAGTTTAATGAAACACTTGTAATACCATTATCAGTTACAAAAAAAGATGAAAAAAAAATGTGTTTTACTTTTCAGAATGTGCTCTTTGCTATCGGTAACTCTTTTCTTCTCTACGCTGACCAGTTCAAGTTATACAGTTCATTCTGTGCCAGTCATTCTAAAGCTCAGAAAGTTCTCCATCCAGGTAAGTCTTATCGAATTACACTGACCGTTTCGTGTACTCCTTCAGTCACGTGTTTCTTAACCAAATTCACTGACACTGCGCAATACCTGCGAAGTTTGTAAATTAAGAGCACACGAGTTGGATTCCTTGCGATAACACAAAATATTTCCTGTACTTTAAGTTGTAAGTGCATAATAAGAGAAACTGTCAATCTCTTTGCATGTATGGTAGGTGGTAAAATTCTGCTGACTGACTCTGTTCAGAATTAGGGACGATAGTACGTAGCCTTGGTAGCTTTGCCATAAATACAATTATAAAATTGTAAGTTAAACGTAATTAGTTCGAATGACCTGCTGTAATTGGAGTACTACGTCTCTCTCTCTATCTGCTATGCCTGAGATTACTGTAATGAAGTTTTTCAGTAATGTAATATTTTCGATGTGACCCTCTTTTGTGATCCAATTTAGTGTTAAGTAATTGGTCCCATTGTTTTGTCGTCCTGAAAAGGTTTCAGTTACAATTACTTGTTTACAGGGAGCGCTGTGCACCAAACCTTTTTTTTTAACAGTTTAAGATTTCTTTGCGTTACTTCGCTGCACTTAATATATATTAATTTTTAGATGTAGTTAAATATAAAGTACAACCTTAGAAGTAATTTAAGTTACTAAATTGTTAAGCCTAACTTGCTATCAATCTTCAACCATGTCTGCTAATCACACATTTTCTAATACTATATTTTGCAACCTTAGAAGTAATTTAAGTTACTAAATTGTTAAGCCTAACTTACTATCAATCTTCAACCATGTCTGTCAATCACACATTCTCTAATACTATATTTTGCAACCTTAGAAGTAATTTAAGTTACTAAATTGTTAAGCCTAACTTACTATCAATCTTCAACCATGTCTGTCAATCACACATTCTCTAATACTATATTTTGCAACCTTAGTTTATCTGCTCAACAATTAAATCTCGGTAGAAAAGTATTTCATATACGACACTTTATATATTCCATTCCATATAAAACTTATTAGTGTTGTTAACTGATTGTTTTTTTAAACGTCTTTATACGAAATATTAACTTGTAAATGTTTTTGCACCAGAAACGTATCAACTAATTTTGTTTGCATTACCCTGTACTAAGCCTAATTTCCTTTTACTTTATGATAGTCTCGTGCGAATTAGGCTTATTAAATACGCTACTGTGTATTTAACTTTGTAGTAAAAAAAAGTAATATCGTTTTATTTGACTGTTTTTAGGAGAAGGGAACACCGCATTGCTGGAATTCCTCCAGTCACGAAATCCGAAAGGACAACACAGCTTCTCTCTAGAGTCCTATCTTATCAAGCCTATCCAACGGATTTTAAAGTATCCGCTGCTATTACAACAACTTAAACATTTGACAGATCCTACTTCAGAAGAGCACCGCCACCTGACGGGTAAGAGACGTACTAATATGCCGATAGTTATAACCTTATTGTTGTAGCAATTCCTGTTTGTTTGTTTTTGTTGTTATTTAAGTATCTTTTTACCTCATAACACACATAATACATGTCAGTGTACAAATATTTTAATGTTTTTTTCCTCACAAACAATTTAAAAATTAACTTTTAATCTTGATTATTCAGAGCAAGGATGGGGGCATCCGCCCATCTTCAAAACAACCCCAAAAAATGGCCTTAAGAAATTACATATTTTTCATTTTACTTCGTCCATGAGTTTTATTATTGTTATTATACTTGCGCCCTGCGTAAAATTGAAAAGTAATTCATCCAAGCCGCTGGAGACTGAATCTTTTACGATTACTTAGTAATCGTTTTCATAGCAACCATACTTTACATGGCCAACTTAATCAAGTTGTTGAAAACTATATTTTATTTATATTTTACCTTAGACGTTTGTTCACTAGAGGGAGCACGACACAACATATAGAAACTTTCGATCTTGCATCCTAATTGGTTGTCATCTTGAAATTTAGTCAAAGTTATATTTTATTTTCACCAGAATAATCCCACTTCTGACATCAGTTTTATAACATACTCTATCGTTCAGTGAGTTCTTTTAGATTATTTAGTAAAAACAATACTAAGTCCAGTGTACGTAATGATAACGAATCAATTTATTTCTTCAGTAGTGTTCACTACGAGCTACGTTCTCTTTCGCACAAATTATAGGCCTAAGTTCACAAATAAAGTTTCAACAGGAATTCCAAGACGAGTGGTACATATGCCTAACTTACTTAAAAGCTTACCTAATAATTTTCACTTCTAAGTCACTAAAATACACTGAACTGGTAAAATCGCTGAACACTCGCTAACTTCTCAATAACTCAACTGACTCACATTTATAAAGTACCATTATTTTAAAGTCTTACACGAAACTTCTAGATTTTTAAACTTCATGAACTTTTTAGATCTTGTGTGTGTGTGTTCCCTCTCAGGACCTAGCTATTACTAACAAAAAACATTAGTGGCATTACTAACGAGCCGCAATAGAAAGCAATCTCGTTTTCTCTTGCTAAGACCCCAGGATCGAATCTAACTAATAGTCATTCTCAGGACTGTAGAGGGTTGAGTACGTTATTTTAAACAATTTTGAATCAGTTAATCACGTAGTAACAACCACAGTCGATATAAATCACGATGTAACAGAATGTATCAGAACTACATTTTGACATTACTTGTCATTTCGTAGGTATTGTGGTACTACAGAATTGTCAGTTTTGGGGGAAAATGTGTAGCAGCCTTTCCAACGTAAGTATTCATACACTCAGATTATAAAGGTGATTCAGATAGAAGATTTAGAATTTTCAAGTCAGGGATATTCATTGTACTTAATAGCATTAGAAAACAAAATACTATGTGTTAACTTGGAGCACCAGAACCACCCAGAGTGAGACCTGCAACAAGTCGTACCCTAACTATGGTAAGTAAATGCTGCATTTTGTAACTGGTATAAATTGACAAACAGAATGGTCAGTGGCAAAAGCCTTCCACATGCTCCATGCAACAAAAACGCAAACATAATCAAGAAAGATCTCTGACCGGAAAGGCAACACAAGTTAGGTGTATATACATTGCTTCCATAATATATCCATTCAACAGTTGCATACCTTAAGCTGCTGAAAAATGAAACAGGTATTCATGCTCTTCCATAGGAAGACACATTGCTCAAGTCGCTGCATACAGTGCCTATGAATTTTCATGTGAATGAACTGTTGAAACAGAGATTGGGAACTGTTGGCTTTGTTCACTATATGGATTATGGAATGCTTTCAGGGTGGAATGTTGTTCTTTGGACATCACAGCCTTACGCTGGAGCCTTTTACAATAGAAACTATCCTGTAAGGCTATCTTCAAAATGCACGGTCGTCAGAAAAGAACCAGACATGGTAACATGAACTGTAATGACATTGTGAGACTCCAAAATCGTTTTAATATAACCTCAACAAACATCTGCTAATCTGATGTAAGTATACTAACAGGCTAATGAACACCACTAATTATTAATGTGTATTAATTAATTACTGGAAATACTTGCATTGTGGATTTACTACATTTATCAGGAAGTTACATTTTGGATATGATATGTCAATAAGATTATGTGGAATATGAATTGCTAAGGTTAATAATGCTTTATATGATACGTCATCTTTTTAATAATAATTAGTGAGAAACAAAAATTATTATATTCTAAGTTTACAAACTGACAGACAGCGCCCTCCTTCGTGAGAAATTAGAATATCTGAATAGAAAACAAAAGTTCAAAAGATATCAGTTGTAACTATCATATGACAAAAGTATTACGTTATTTGTGTTTTTTAAAACTGAGAGGAAGAATGTATAGTATTGTTTCAACTACATATCCATTGCCGGCGACGCATTTTGCTCAAAACCAGAGTGCATCCGGACAACTGGAATACAACAAACACGGTAGTGGTTAGGACCCTATTTATATAAGCCATTTGTTAGTATAACAAAGGCTTTGATAAGCTCACTGGCCACCAGGAAGGCGCTGCAATGGTTTGCGGAAGTATGGCATCTTGTACAAACAAGCACATGTTTAGACTTGCAAAGCATTAGGTATAGATAATTTCAAGAAACGTATTATGCTATTGCTGTGTACCGAATTGTAATAACAAAACCAGTTGTCAGCGATGCCATTTTTATGGTGTTTATTTGATGAGATTTCGTGCAAAGTTATTCGAGGCCTATCTGTGCTAGCCATCCCTAATTTTGAAGTAATAGATGGCAGGGAAGCAGCTACTCAACAGCATCCACTGCCATCTCTTGCGTTAATCTATACCAACGAGTAGTGAGATGATTGCCGGTCACATTATATCACCATACGGCTGTAAGGGTGACCAGTTTGGCCTAACCACCAGGTCATGCCTTCCCTCTAGCCTATCACTTCAAAATTGGGAATGGTTAGTGCAGATAGACCTCGTGTAGCATAACCCGAAGTTTCAACTAAACAAACAAACCTTACAATGGTCTTACGTAGTCGGTATGATGAATTGAAAATAAGCCTCATCTTCAGACCTCACTAGATACTTCTACGTAAGCCTTGGCCCTTTTGGCGATTAAATTGTACAGAATGTACTGGTTAATTGATGCGAAACATACACGGGCTAGTCATACAAGAACATGGTGGTGAAAATCAAGATATTTTTCAGAGGAACATCTGAAGAATCAAGTAAAAATGGCGGTTGATTCCTTCATAAGACAACCGATTGGGTTACTTTTGAAGACTTAATGGAAATCATCATCCCAGAAGATAACACATCTTTGCAAGGTTTGGGGATTCCTGAAAAGGATCATTTACAAACTGATGTGCAGCTCCGGATCCAATAAGGAGAACTGGAGTACACGCCCCTCCAAATTTACAGTGGAGAGGAGCTGTAGCTCTCAATGCAACCCCCCCCCCTCTCGCCTGTGTATTGTATTGTACCTATCACACTAACTCTGTACTTATATATATATATATCGAAAAAATGACATTTTTAAATCTCTTACAAGCTTTGAGACACAAAATTATTATACATCTACTAAAGCAGAGTGGGGCATATTGGTTTGCCCCTGTCTGTCCCGTTTTTTGTGGACGGGATATCTCGTGATTGGATAGATGGATTTTGACCACACTTATACAACAGATAGTGTATACAAAGTTCTAGCCCTGATTAACCTTTCAGTGTCGAGGGTCAAGGTCAAAGTGGGGCATATGTGTTTTATAAACATAATTTTCACTTATTTTACACATAATTTTATACACTTGCACGTAGTTTTAATGTCTCAGACACATGCACAAGCAACGAAAGTAGTGAAATCTGAGCCTAACACATTTTATTGTTGTATCTTTTCATGAAATTTTCCTTCGTCGGGTTTCGCAACGAAGTTGAATCTAAATATATCGTATGCTTCTTTGTTTTACGATATCATGGTCAGTGGAAAAGATTAATGATACAACCTTTTCTTTTCATGCTTTACTTTTCTTAGGTTATTGCATATTTAGACTCCCTCTAGTGGAAAATAACTTATTATCATTATTATACGGCAACACTCATCCATACTTTAGAACTAAAAGTCGTTTACCAAAGAGATATAGGCCTACGTACCGTTAACCCATTAAGATATAGGCCTAACTACCGTTAACTCATTGGGATATAGGCCTAACTATCGTTAACTCATTGAGATATTGGCCTAACTACCGTTAACCCATTGAGATATAGGCCTAAATACCGTTAACTCATTGAGATATATGCCTAACTACCGTTAACTCATTGAGATATAGGCCTAAATACCGTTAACTCATTGAGATATAGGCCTAACTATCGTTAACTCATTGGGATATAGGCCTAACTATCGTTAACTCATTGAGATATTGGCCTAACTACCGTTAACTCATTGAGATATAGGCCTAAATACCGTTAACTCATTGAGATATTGGCCTAACTATCGTTAACTCATTGACTGTTGATTCGCCGTATAGCGTACGGTCCGCCCCCGGCAGTTAAATGCGGCTGTGCTGTACACAGTGTACGACTCGCAAATATTCCACGCGCGTTTAAATCAGCCGCAGTCAAAGGGTTAAACATGCTGGATACTGTATGCTTTTAAAGATGAACTGTGGTCAGTCCGACAGAGCAGACTGTAAGAACCTTTTCGTGTGTGAATTCTATTCTTCATAGTTAAAAATTGACATCAAATACCTAAAATTTAAACAGAATTCGAACCTAAGACTCCGCTCAGCTGGCGGGTAATTTGGCGGTTGACGAGAACGAAATGTTGACATGGTATTCGTGACAGGTCTAAATGTCTATATTTCTTCTTGTAGAGGCTTTAAAGGGTATGGAAAGAGTTGCTGAACACATCAACGAAATGTTGACATGGTATTCGTGACAGGTCTAAATGTCTATATTTCTTCTTGTAGAGGCTTTAAAGGGTATGGAAAGAGTTGCTGAACACATCAACGAAATGTTGACATGGTATTCGTGACAGGTCTAAATGTCTATATTTCTTCTTGTAGAGGCTTTAAAGGGTATGGAAAGAGTTGCTGAACACATCAACGAAATGTTGACATGGTATTCGTG